CCATCCCTACATGGGACTGATCAACTTTTGATTTTTATTTGAATCTGTGCTGGTCATTCCATGTTTTCAAGCTTACCATCTTGTTCTTTTTTCCTGATGCAGTTCTGGCATAGCTGGGACTTGTGTTTTAGGTCATTATCCTGCTGTAGGATGAACCCCTGACCAACTAGGCGCATACTAGAGGGTATTGCATGGCGCTGCAGAATACTGTGGTAGCCATTTGGGTTCAGGGTGCCTCTCACTCTGTACAAGTCACTGATCCCGGATCCAGTAAAACAGACACAGACCACCACACTTTCCTCCATGTTTGACAGTTGATGGCACACACTCTGGAACCATCCTTTCGCCTACTCAACTGTGTAAAAAGATCCTGAACCAAAGATTTCAAATTTTGATTCATCAGTCCATAATACTAGTCTTCAGTAGTCCAATGGTGGTGTTTCATGGTCCGGCAAGCCTCTTTGTCTTATTCTGATGTCTTAGTAATGACTTTCTTGCTGCAACTAGTCCTGTCAAACTTGCAGCTCGAAGTCTTCTCTTCACAGTCGAAGCTTAGACTTTCTTACTAAGACCACTATTAAGCAGTGATTGAAGCTGTTGTCCTGTGAGCCGCCTATCAGGCAAGTTGTTAACTCTCAGAAACTTGACCTCTGATTCAGTTGTGGCTTTGGACCTGCCAAACCTCTTCCTGTCAGAGTTTAGTCCAGTTTCTGAGTGCCTTGTGATATAGTGAAGGAAACTGTACTCACTGACACCTTGACTTTCTTTCAAATTTCTTTGTAGGAAAGACCTCCATTGCTGCAGAACAGTTTTAAATTGTTAACCCATTTTGTGGTCCCTGAGAAAGGCCTTCTTGTTCATTCTGAAATGTACGTTATTTTTCTGTTTTAGGTAACCTTACCCTTTTTTAACCTCTGGCAGTTCACCATTTACCTTTTTTACCATTTCAAGCTATTCACTGGACTTAAATGACTTGAATTGGAATAAATAACTGGGAAAATTGGGGTTTTCTAAAACATTTGACCGCTAGTCTGTATATACATTTTAGTTGTGTCCTACTTAAAATGATTATTTCATGTTTATTGAGGGTGAAAATCATATTTGAGTGCAATTATGGACGGTGAATTTGTCACGGCTGCGCTGGCAGCCCATGCAGATGAGGGAAAGGAGCACCCAAATGCAGGACTCTTCAATGCAAGCAGTACATTTATTTACAGTGACGTAAATAATACACAACAATAAATCCCCGTGCGCCCCAGACTCCCATGCTGTGTCTTCCTCCCAGTGTCCGTGCCCTGTGTCCTCGTTTCCAAGTGTCCATGCACCCCGTGCTTGCTGCCCTTTCGTTTCCAGTCTCCTCCTGGGAAATAACAGAGGCAGACGTTAGACACTTTCCAACTGCGGCAGGATTGCACTTACTGATATGTTGAAAACACTGACGGGTAGTCACATAATGATCTAGCGTTGGCGAGAGCTCCACCACACTCCTAAGTAGCTCCTCCGATGAGGCTTGATCAGCTGTGGTGTGTGATGATCTTCAGGTGTGACCAACCACCTGGCAGGGCCACACCCACCAGGCCTGAAGGTGCCTGTCACAGCCGCACCCACACAAGCACACACACCTGCCTATATACACACAAGCGTGAACAACAGGGACAGCAGCACAGAGCAGCAAAAACACATGTAATGTGACACAAGTCCATAAGTGCTCAGTGACCCTGGGTTGCTCAGATCCAGGTCCCTGACAGAGTTAAAGAACAACAATTAATTGCTACTATCACGTTTAGATGCATATAATTTTTTTTTCTAATCTTTTTAATTGATCTGAATTAATTTAAACCTCTGAATAGGTTATATGTGATCAGTTTGAGTCTTGTTTGAGTCTAGCTTATACTCTGCTTGCCTTTTGGCAAAAGCACAAAGAGGAATTCAAATGAGGTCAATTCAATTCCAATCACAACAACAGTCACCTCAAGGCAATAATAGTAAAGAACCTGCAAGTGAGGAGGAGGGATGGATAGAGAGAATAGGAGAGAAAGAGGCCAGATCACACATGGATGGATCTCCAGCTTCCTCTTACAGTGGTTTGCAAGTGTTCGACCCCCTTGAACTTTCCCACATTTTGTCACATTACAGCCACAAACATGAATCAATTTTATTGGAATTTCACGTGAAAGACCAACACAAAGTGGTAAACACGTGAGAAGTGGAACGAAATCATACATGATTCCAACAATATTTACAAATAAATAACTGCAAAGTGGTGTGTGCGTAATTATTCAGCCCCATTTGGTCTGATTGCAGTCAGTTGCTCATAGACATTGCCTGATGAGTGCTAATGACTAAATAGAGTGCACCTGTGTGTAATCTAATGTCAGTACAAATACAGCTGCTCTGTGACGGCCTCAGAGGTTGTCTAATAGAATAATGGGACCAACAACACCTTGAAGTCTAAAGAACACACCAGACAGGTCAGGGATAAAGTTATTGAGTAATTCAAAGCAGGCTTAGGCTACAAAAAAGATTTCCCAAGGTGGGCGAATCTGTCCATGGGACAACTATTAGTCGTGCACTGCACAAAGTTGGCCTTTATGGAAGAGTGGCAACAAGAAAGCCATTGTTAACAGAAAACCATAAGAAGTCCAGTTTGCAGTTTGCCACAAGCCATGTGGGGGACACAGCAAACATGTGGAGCTGCTCTGGTCAGATGAGACCAAAATGCAAAACGCTATGTGTGGCGGAAAACTAACACTGCACATCACTCTGAACACACCATCCCTACTGTCAGATATGGTGGTGGCAGCATCACGCTCTGGGGGTGCTTCTCTTCAGCAGGGACAGGGAAGCTGGTCAGAGTTGATGGGAAGATGGATGGAGCCAAATACGAGGCAATCTTGGAAGAAAACCTCTTGGAGTCTGCAAAAGACTTGAGACTGGGGCGGAGGTTCACGTTCCAGCAGGACAACGACCCTAAACATAAAGCCAGGGCAACAATGGAGTAGTTTAAAACAAAACATATCCATGTGTTAGAATGGCCCAGTCAAAGTCCAGATCTAAATCCAATCGAGAGTCTGTGGCAAGATCTGAAAACTGCAAAACAGCTCCAGCTCAGTCAGATTAGATGGACAGCGTTTGTGAACAGCAAAGAAGAATGGGCAAGGACTTCGGTCCCTAGATGTGCAAAGCTGGTAGAGACATATCCTAAAACACTGGCAGCTGTAATTGCAGCAAAAGGTGGTTCTACAAAGTATTGACTCAGGGGGCTGAATAATTACGCACACCCCACTTTGCAGTTATTTATTTGTAAAATAATTTTGGAATCATGTATGATTTTCGTTCCACTTCTCACGTGTACACCACTTTGTGTTGGTCTTTCACGTGGAATTCCAATAAAATTGATTCATGTTTGTGGCTGTAATGTGACAAAATGTGGAAAAGTTCAAGGGGGCCGAATACTTTTGCAAGCCACTGTACTTTTGCTTTCAATACACAAATACTTGTTTGCTTTATTTATTATCAGATTGCATGTTACAATCTGGTTTAATACAGTCTATGTGTGGCTGACCAGAGGTGGCTGGACACACACTTAATTGAAAGAAAGTAAACAGGAAGTCAAAGCTCAAGAGTTATAATTCTTTTTTCACCATATCGACTGTGTGAACGCCAAAACTAATCTGAATACTGTAACTAATAAGAGTATTGATACATTATCAGAAACTGTTGCATAAATTTGATTGTGCTGTCGTTAACGGCAATCTGTTTTGGTTTGTTTTGGTTTGGATGTTGCAGAGAAAGACAATACTGCAAAGAAGAGAGGCAAAGCTACGCAGAGAGACAGCAGAGATCACACCCAAGAGATGAAACTGAGGCACTTGTTGCCACAGTAGCAAAGCACATCAAACTAGGGAAAAAAGAAAAACAGTGTCTGCGATGTAAAAGAGAATGTTTGTGACCCAAACTGAGAGAAGTTGTCCCAAAAATCCTCAGTGCAACTTTGGATTTAATAGTGATCCTTCAACTCTAACCGGCTTAGAAGCTTTTGTGGTTGGAATCCACATCTAGAGATGCAGCTTTTCGTTTTTCATTTAGGATGTTTTTGGCAACAGCACTTTGTAAAAAACTGGCCAAACACTTAAGCAGAAAAAAATAAACACCTGTGTATAAATCAAACATTTTTTGTGGGCACAGTTTTAAATTCAGAACAGCAAGAAATCAAATTCAATGCTGTTGCTGAACAGTAATACTCTGAAATGTCACAGACAGAAGAGTATATTAGTCACAATGTGAATATCACACAATTCTTAGATATGCAAAATATTTCCTGGTCACGATGTATCATTGCAGCCATAATCAGACAAATGTTCTAGAGTGCATCAAACTACTCTTCCAGTCCTCTTCACACATTATATTTATCACCTCCATCTGAAAATGGGGGAAACCACAGATATTGTCAGTGAATAATAAAGAGGCAGGAATTTTTCCAGGTGATGGAGACACTGAGTATTTTTATGTGTTAAGTTTGGCTTAAGTCAGCTATAATAACCTAAAAGTCCTTTTAAAATATTCAAAGACAGACAACGTCATAGTTTGATGTAACAATACTAACTCCGAGTTAAAGACAGCATCAGTGACGCTAAAAGTAAGCAACAAGCATATAATATCAACACTACATATACATGAAGATAAAAGCATAAAGTGACACAACAACAGTCATAACAGTTTTTTAACAACAGTTAAAAAAGTACTTGGGCTTAGCCGTTTATTGACTCTAACACTGAATGCTGAATGTGGCTGTAGATGTCATTGTTGCTTCTTGCTGCTCTAGAAGAGTCATTTAAAGCAGCAACATCGTGACATCATGTCCTTATGGAAATGTCTCCCGGTGAGGCCCCTCCCTGTCCGGGTGACATCAGCCGGAGCTCGGCTGCTTTCCTCCAGGAGTCCTCGGTGTAACCGCACATACACATCCAGCGCTGCCACCGGGAGAGCTCGACGGAAAGGGCGCCTGCTCGGCTTTTCTAACCGCTTTTCTTCATGGGACAAAACAATATTAATACTCCCCCGCCAGGTAAGCTTCCATCTTTCTTTCGTCTTCGTTTGCCTCCGCGTCAGTTAGAAATGATTTTTTAAGAGACAATTATGCTCTACCTGAAGGCGGCAGTTTAAAAGCAGCAACTTTTTCTTCTTTTTTTATGAACCTCAGCGTGGAGAGTGGTGCTTACATTTGGGCTGTTAGGGGAGAAAACGGCACTTTCTAGCTGGGTTTTAATTCCAAAATGTTCTCACTTAAACAGTTACACGGCTTTATTTGGCTTGTTCTCCCCGTCTCGCTGTTTCCTATCTGTGAGTGCAACTCTATCATACCTGCCTAATAACTACAGTAACGGGTCTTTCCGCCGTTTTGCCTCGTTTGCGCTGCTAAAAGTCATGTGTGACTCGTCTTCAAGTGTAAATCCGTCTGAAACACAGCTAAAGCCTCGGTAAACTGTAATAACTGTCGGATAGTGAGCTGTAGCAGTGTTACAACCTGATAGTCTCACTGTATGCTAATGTTTAGTTCCTAGCTCAAATAGGGCTGTGGGTGCGTGTACTGTGGGTGGTGGTGGTGGTGAGGGGGTCACACTGGTTTCCATGACAACACATTAACCACAACACTGATTGCGACTGAAGATTTGACACCAGCACCTCCACCACAATCATCATCCTCACAATAACTACAAGTTGCAGTTTTCTGGGTCAGAGCTTTCACACAATGCACACTGGGTCATCAGCCTTGCTCCTGCATTGGCGTCCCTGACCTCCAGGGCCCTACGTGCCCCATGTATCATTCCTCCACCTACTCACCACCTGGACCAGTAGATCAGAGCTTTACTGGCCCCCTTAATTTTCACTGGCCCAAGGGGAGAAAAATCCACCCCATCACTACAGAAAACATTTGACTGTAATGCAGTCCTAGCACTAGCCCCACTCTAGAGCTCCCATGGGTCATTAGAAACTCTTTTGTTTGTATAATTTTGTTGTATAAAATGTGAAAATGCTGCGTTTAAGAAAAGCTCATCACCAGTAGGATTCATTTTATTTATTTATTTAATTTTCAGAAAGAGGGGCAATACATATTAATGAACATTTTAACAAATGTAAATATGCCACATATTAGCCTTGGGCTAATTTCCATCTGCAGACCCTCTGGCAGGTTGGTGTTAAACACAAGTTAGTAAAAACATACAGTGACACTATTTACAGGTCATGTGACAAGGACAAAAACAGTGATCACATTATACTAGAACAAACAATGACAAGGAGAGTGGACACAGAGGACAGTATAGATAACAATAACGGAAACACATCAATTATATTGCACAAACCCCAGTATTGTACATGCCCTGACCATCGTGATATTGCGTTCACCCATTGCACTAACAGTTGTATCCCTTTTTGTAATACACTAACTCTTTTTCCCGTCCAATATAAAACATGATTATTAAACATGATTACATGTTTGTGTGTCCCTCAGCCGCCCTTTTAAGTGACTCTTAAAGATGGGTAGACTTGTACTTTCCCTCACTGACAGTGGAAGACTATTCCAGAAGCTCACTCCCTGATATGACAGAGCATTCTGTGAAAAGGTGGTCCGCCTGAATGCCAGTTCACAATCACCTCTAACAGTGGCTCGAGTCAGTCGAGACCCGGCAACACTGCTAGACTTTTGTTTAATAAAATCACTCATTGGTGGAGGCGCCAGACCATGTATAACTTTGTATATTAGACAGGCAGATTTAAATAATTTGAAATTAGTAAAATTTAAAAACTTGTATTTTTCTAAAATTTGACAATGGTGATATGAAAAAGGTTTTTTATCTAATATTTTCAATGCTCTTTTGTAGCATTTGTACAGGTTTTAAAGCTATGGCAGTTTCTAGATACTTGCTCAATGTTGTCACCCTTTTGTTATCTGCATCTAGTGAAGCCAGTAGGTTCTAGGACACATACAGGCAAAATATGTCCTGTGCAAATCTCAGTCTGATGTCCAATGGAACAAAAATGAACAACCCACAAAAACATTAGGTGAAAAGCAGAGTTATGTTATCTGAATTCCAACAGAATTTAGATAACATAGTGCTGAATTCTCCACTTGTGTGTTTCATAAAGTACTTTATTTATACAGTAATGCAAGTCAATCCTGCAGTGGATCCTACACAAGTAAAAACAGTTTGACTGAAGTATTACAGCAGTAATAACAAAACAGAAAATAACTGGAGTTCATTCATATATGTACAGTATAAAGGATGGGTGTAGTTTCTGGGTATTAAAAGTAAAAACAATATGAAAGTGCCTTTTTAATTGCCAGCCGGGCCATGGGCTGTGGTTGTTTTAGTTCTCTATGCGTCTCTATGATGGACCTCAGCCCTGACCAGCGTAACCTCATTTTTTGTGGTCACCATTATTTCCAATCATCTTAAATAAAATGTGTCAACACTTGTTGAGCATCACTTCGAAGCTGTTTGGGAGTCATCTTGTTCTTTCAAAAATGCAGTTCGAATAAAATGCTTCTCGGGGAGTCCAAGGTTAACTTAAGTTATTTAGCATCACAGGTGACTTTGTGATCATAACTGGTAGAATAATTGCTAACTTTACACATATTTTATGATCTCTTTGCTACATTGGGGCATTTGTTATCTGGAACCCAGCCCTTACCACCCCAGGTAAAAGTAGCCTAATCTTAATCTTGAGAAATATGTAAAGAATTTTGAGATAATTTAATATGCCAACAAAGACAGCATGCTAGCTTTTTCTGATCTCAAATCTGTATAGTATTAGTGAAAGTTGATAGGGACACATCAGGCACACAGCTTTGGCTGTAAGCACATAAGCCCCACCCACCCGCTGTTCAAACTTTCGATTCATGAAGGGCAGCCAATCAGAAGAGAGTTGGGTTTAAGGAAATTTGAAGAAAGCTATAACAAACTGTTTCAGACAGACATGAATCTTAACTGCAGATTTAAGAGTTGTTTACTCCCAATAATATTTAAAATAAATGACTGCCAAATGTCAGCTGACAGTGAACACGTATTTGCAAGCCAGACTGATCATCACTCACTCAAGACAGCTGAACAGACTTAATTGTCACAAAAATAAGAGATCTGTTTCTGACAGCTTAGACAATTACATGAAAAATACATTCAGCGCTAAAAAATAAGCAACTACAGTTTACTAGCTCATACTTTAATAGTTAATAAAATAATTTAACTTTGGCAAATATGCATCCCAAAAGTCTCTGTAGAGAATAATTCTTGTTTTTGTCATGTTCTCCATGTATACACAGTATATGAGAGCATATAAGGTGACATGGTGTGTGATGTGTACATATATAAATGCACTGAGTGTGTAAATATTGAGCTCTCTGAGCTGATTATTTAAGCACACCTGGTGTGTAATGGGTTGATGTGGCACAGTGTGCTATTTACTTCTCTGTGCTGAGAGTCCGATCAGCTATTTACATTTCCAGAGTCACTTTGTCTGTGTGGTGTACTGGTGGTGGCTCCTTGACGTTCTTAACAAATGCCACTTTGTAGAATCACTCTCTTTTTTTGCATCTTTAGTGCTTTTCCCTTTTTGTCAATAGGAAGGCTGTTTTTTTTTGTCAGTGAGTCATGTTTCAAATGAAATCAGATGATTCTTTTACTGGGTTGAAAAATCGCTACAAATGAATTAACGCCCACTTTGGATTTAAATAACACTTCAGAGCAGTCTTTCTAATGTTCTTTTGTAATCACTTGTACGTCACGTCTCAAAGTGCAAATAGTGCTTTACTCTGAGTGTGATTTCCTTGTCATCTGTTGACATCATGAAAATATAGTCAAATTTCATTCACATCTCTATTGCTTTGAGCGTCATACCTGCTGATAAGTTGATATAAAAATAGAGCATGAAAAGATCAACAGATTAAAAGAAGTCCGCAGAATAGCTCTGTTACGAAAGCTTGTTTTCTTTTTTACATATTTGGTTAATCTGTGAGCTGCTGGTACATGGATTTTAAAGCCAGTTGCCTCCTGTCTCCTGCTGTAATGTTCTCTGTGTAAGGAAGGGAAGAGGGTAAGTTTATTTACAAGTAAGGTTACAAGGTATAGTTTTTACACAGCTGAATAAACGTCAAACAGACAACTGATTATCAGAAGTGTGAGATGCTCGAGAATATACTCCGGTGTCCTGTTATATTTTAGATAGCAAGGAGTTTATTAAACCGAAACAATCTGCAAATTTCATTAAAATTTAATAAACTATCATCTTGTCTTTATTTTTAGTTAGCACATACCTTAAACACTTAAAGCTGTAAGCTAATGATAGTTATATAAGAGCAGATGCTGCTGGTGCAATAAGCTGTACGTTTTACGTCCAATGGATGCATGATCTGATTAGTCGACTAATCGCAAAAGTAATCGGTGACTAGTCAACTATCAAAATAATCATTTGTGGCAGCCCTATTTACAAGTGCATTACATATTGCATTAAAACAAAAATTGCCCAAAAATATGAACTTTTTTTAGGACTGCTGTTAGTTTACGAGACAGTGTTCATTGGGGCAGATGGGTGCCCCTCCCTGAACTGGGATCTGCTGGAGGTTTCTTCCTGCTAAAAGGGTTTTTTTCTTCCCCACGGTCGCCAAAGTGGTTGCTCACAGTGGATTGTTTCATTGTTATGGGTTTCTCTGTATTATTGTAGGCTCTTTATGTTACAAAATAAAGTGCTTTGAGGCAGCTGTTGTTGTGATTTGGTGCTATATAAATAAAATTGAATTGAATTATTCAGACTGCTACAATGTTTGAAGTTTTCTTTTTTTTTTTCTCCATAGTTAACAAGTACAATGAAAGCACAGAATCCAACAGCGTATCAGTCCATCTTTAAATAGTCACTGACTACACTGCCCTGTCTGTAACTTTCCACTCCAAGCTTACCACTTTCCCCTTATACACATTTCTCAGAGCACAATATAAAACCTTTATAAATATATAAAGCCAAATGATCTTTGTTGCTTTGATGAGAATATCTACCATTTTACTGGGGACTATT